GCTTGGATTAAAACTTTTAAAAACTTTTTTTAGAGAGATTTTTGCTATAGGGCACATGCACTTGCTGGAAAGACAGAGAGAGACAGAGAGACAGAAAGCAAGAAATCACTCCCCAAGGGGGGGATGGCCATGCCACAGTCCTTTCTCCTCCTTCTCCTCTTGGAATTTTGGGCACATACACACACACACGTGCCCAGCATAAATTTGAAGCCACCAGGTCTGGGACTCGAACTACATAGGAGTCTAATGATGTAACCATTATATCATCTGTTGGTCATAGTTTGCACCCTCTTAATCCCACAAATATATTTAATCACATGAACCTTTGGGAGATATTCAGACCATGTCAGGTTTCCACACTGAGGCAAGCTGAGTGCTTTCTTAGCCCTATCTCATGTGGTGATTCTTCCCAGACTCCACCTTGGGAACAAATGGTTGTAGCATCATATTCCTCAGAAGCACAGGGATAAGAAGAGGCTGAGGTGGGGGCCCAGCAGACTGGATGCTAGCACTAGAGAGAGCCCAGTAGCAGGCAGTCAGGGGAGCAAGAAGCAACATTACGAATTGTATTCCAGGCTTGGACTCTGCCTCCTGTCCTGTCCCATCTTCCATCTAGCTCCTTGCTATTGCTCAGCACATGAACCTATGGCTACTGAGTTCCATTTTCCTGACAGACAGGTGGATGGATGCCCCATGCCTCCTGATTGGGATCCCTCCTTGACAATTGGACAAATGTGCATAAAGAAGCTTGTAGGTGGAACTGAAGAGGCCTCAGCTTGTATGGTGGTGAGACCGGGGGCCAGGAAGCATGGTCATGCTTAAAGTACTAGAAAATACTGAAGATGAACCTGAAGGCCTTTAACCTAATTTACCTTCCCTAAAAGGTCTAACTCTTTAGAAATGAATACTCCTCCCAGGTACTCCCATTGGTTCTTCTGGGAAACTTTCTTTCCCTTCACATGATCACCAGGGTGCAGTGACATTGGAGGCCAGCACTGACTGGCCTTCCACAGCAAGCCTATAGGAGTTGTTATCCTCAAGAAAGCTGGAAAGAATGCCAAGATGGCATAAGCTTCTATGCTCTGGTAGCAACACATGCTTTTACCTTCTAGGAGAGCCAAGACTTTTGATAGGTTGTTGGAGAGTGAGCCTTACACCCATCTAGAATGTTCTAGTTGGTGCCAAGCTATTTTGTGATTTTTGTTTCATGACCAAATTATACAGCCAAAATTGCAAACACCATGCCAACTCCTAGCATGAGTATCACTTTACCCGGGTAACAAGTATGACTGTTTAAAAAGTATGATAAATAACACAGTTTATATCTGTTTTTGTATATTCCATAAGACACACACAGACTGAAAACTCCAGAGAGACAAGAGACCTAAGGGACCTTCAAGGCAACCTCTACACTTGGGGGAAGAGAAAGCTCAGTGCTAGAATAAATGAAAATACAGTAGCACCCTTTGAATTTGGTTTTTACTTTTTTTTTGAAAGAGAGAGAGAGAGATTTTTGCTATAGGGTGCTTACACTCACTGGAGAGACAGAGAGAGAGACAGAGAGGCAGAAAGTGAGAAACCACTCCCCACGGAGATGGCCACACCACAATTCGTTCTCCTCCATTCTCCTCTCGGGATTTTGGGTATACACACACACAGGCACGTGGCACAGGCACCTGGCATGAATTTCAAGCTGCAGCACTTGAACCAAAGTTGACCATGTGGGAGTCTGGCACCTCAACCACTACACCATTTGCTGGTCCCATGGCTTTTTCTTTTTATTTGCAAAATCTTTCACCATCACTTGAACTTTCCCATGCACTGCGAGTGGTAGTATGTGCAGTGGATAAAGTGTGTAATCAGGAAACAGATCCCTGGAGATGGAAACTTATTCATGTGGCCTGGGACAAGTCTCTTAATTTTTCTGAGCCTCAATTACCTCTTCTGCAAAATGTGCTTGTTGTGAAGATTTTATGAAATCATATGTATAAAGTGTTTAGAGCTGTTTGGCATGTTTCCAGGTCTGGGACTCAACCTGCAGTCAGCCATGTGGGAATCCAGCACATCAACCACAGCACCACCTGCAGGCCCCATGGATACATATTTTTAATCTTATTAAGACCCATGAGAAGGACCAGCAGATGGCATAATGATTACATTCCTAGACTCCCACATAGTCGAGAGCAGTCTGAGTCCCGAACCTGGTAGCTTAAAACTCACGCTGGATACATGTACATGCATGCCCAAAATCCTCAGAGGAGAATGGAGGAGAAGGAACTGTGGCGTGGCCATCTCCCCCGGGGAGTGATTTCTCGCTTTCTGTCTCTCTCTGTCTCTTTGGTGAGTGCATGTGTCCTTTAGCAAAAATCTCTCTCTCAAACAACAACAACAACAAAACCAAGAGAGCACCTGAAGTGGGCAGAGCAAGATTGCTAACCCATTTGACAGATCCAAAAACAGGCTTGGAGAGTTTTGCTTGATTTTATATAACTAATCAGTGATAGAGCCAGGAATCAATCCCAGATCTCTGGACTCTGTATCCTATGAAGATCCCTCCTGCTTGCTCACCAACCTCACTTACAATAAGGTCAAAGAAACACCTAGTTTGTTAGCCTAGGCTACAGTTAGAATAATACTATCATACATATTGCATATATTTCTTTTAAGATTTGGGGTAGCTTAAAATAGAAATACAAATAAAAAGGGACAGAGGAACTAAACCTTTGAGACAGAAGACAGAAATGTTCAGAGAAGGGAGCAAGATCATTTCACTGAGACCTGAGGCTGAGAACACTGGTTCCAAAATACACTTGGCTTGAGCTTTTTGGCAGCCACAGGAACAATGGGATCCTGTGTGGTATTGCCAATAGGAAAGTGTATGGATTAACGAGTGACCTGGGATGGTAGTGGTGGGGATGGGACTGGGTGCATCATTGCTGAATACATTCTACGGCTGGGCTGCACAGACAGAGGAAAGCCAGGTCCATGTGTATGAAAGGTGCCATTCCAGAGATGCCACAGTCATGTAGACATGGGCCTGCCCTGGGGCACCTGTGCTAGAGACTTCAGAGGCAGCTTGGTCATACCAGCTCTCCAGCGGGAGGCATGCACATAACAGACCAGGTCTATCAGGGCTACATAGAGGCCAAGGGGCTAGAAAATACTCCTTCAGGAGCTGGTTGGGCTTCAGTGGAACAGAGTGGAGTGGGGTTATTGGCATCAGCAAGGAGCCAAACGAAGTTGGTTCCAAAGAATGCCAGGCACTCCATATGAGTCCAGGCAGGCAGGTATGTAGGGCTCTAAAGCTCAGAGGTGCTCTACTCACCACACACCTTTGCCATCAGCCACCTAGACCATGGCTGGAGCCCATGCTTTATTCACCAGTACTAGGGCTAGGACACTGGGGATGAAAAAGCTCTGAAGAGTTGGGAGAATGGAGAGGATTCAATGTCTTTGAAAGCAGTAACTTGGGGACACTTTGGAAACAGCACAGCATCAAATCGTATGCATATTCTTACAGACTGATTATCATCTCCCCCAGGTTCATTTGTTGAAGTCCTAATCTACAGCACCTTGGAATATAACTTTATTTGAAAATAGTTTTGTTGCAGAGGTAACTAGTTAAAATGAAGCCCTACTAGAGTACGGTGGGCCTCTAATCCAATGTGATCAATGTTCTCATAAAAAGGGATAATTTAGACACAGAGACAGAATTATAGCATTGAGCTTACTTTAGCTGGGACCATTTTGCCACCTTGGCATATTATGGCTGCATCTTTCCTTCCAAACAGAACATCATGTGAAAATGAAGGCAGAGATTGGGGTGATGCTTCTGAAAGGCAAGAAATGCCAGAAATTGCCAGAAAACTATCAAAAGCTAAGAGCGGCATGGAGCAGGTTATCACTTGCAGACTTCAGAAGGAATCAAGCCTAATGACACCTTGATGTCAAACTTCCAGCCCCAAGAATTGTCAGATGGCACATTTCTATTATTTAAGTCATCACTCAGTTTGTGGTACTTGGTTTCAGCAGCCTCAGCATACTAACACACATGCACACTCACATACACCTACACCCCCCTTATAGGTGTGAATTCCATTTTCCAGGCCTGAAACACAGAAGAAACATCCCTGTAGGAAGAGGGTACATCAGGGCTATGTGTATGAAAAACTAGCTGGGCTTAAGTTGACTTCCCATTTATGTTTTACGGTGATTGTGGAGGTACATAATAAAAACAAATCCTTACCTTCTTTTAGTGCTCTATAGCCTCAAAAGCACTTCCATATTCACACTACAGCTTAAGCCCCATCCACAGAGAGTGGTGGGTGGCATGAGCCCGAATTTGTAGAGGAAAAAATAATGCTGGAAGGCATTCTGCTTTATCATAGGCTGCATGACTAGGAAGCCGGGGGCAGTGCGCATGCTCCTCTCTGCCAGCCCAGCCTGTCAATGTTCTTGTACCTGGGGGTAGGTGCAGAGGTAATATGCACTTTCTGGGAGAGGACAGGGATAATTGTCCAAGACAAAATCAAGTTGACTTCTTGGCACTTCTCCCTTAGTGTCCTCTGAATCAGCATGATGGCATCGTGCTTACTTTAGTTGTGACCATTTTGCCACCTTGGCTCATTATGGCTGCATACTTCTTTCCATTGACTCCAATTATCTTTCTGCTTAATCCTAGGGCAATCCTTTCTCCCACTGGGGCAGTACTTGACAGGAATTAAACCTCTTCCATGTTCCTTATCGCATTTGCAACTCATTGAGTTCTAAGAAGGGAGGCAGAGCATGTACCTCATTTTACCACTGAGGCAAAGAAAGGGGAAGTGATTTGCTCATCATCACTGAGGTACTTGGGGTCAGAGTTGGGGCTCAAATTCCAGTCTACAAGGACAGTGATGCTTTTATAACAATGGATCTTGATTACTGAGCACCAATTATAAACCAGGCACTGCCCGAGGTACTTGGAGGACACTGTCTAATTGAGCTCTTTCATTTTCCAGATGAGGAGATTGAGTCTTATGATAAGAAAGGCAAAGGCAACCTGTTCATAGCTGAAAGGTGCATAACAGATGAATCCAGGATGTAACTGCAAGTCTGGTTGACTCTGTAGCCTGGCTTGACACAGTCACCCAGTGTTTTCTTCTCTGAGTTGCTTCCAGAGATAAAGTCTGGAACAAGTGGCCAGACTGTCTTTTCCCAGCCCCCTGTGGATGTCTGTAAGGAATGGCCCAACTGCTCATCACCCAGCTAGCAGGCCAGTAATCCATCTAGGAAATCCCCTGGCTCAGGACCCAGTTAGTGAGGGCTATTTACAGACAACCTCATTCCTTCCTCTTAACTCCTAAAATTTGAAGGCCAGCTCTCTTGGAGCCTTATGAGCAGCAACTATCCAGGAAAAGTCCATTGACACCTCCCTCTTGTGCAGAGCTGGCCTGGAACCCAACTGGCTTAAACCCTCTTGCTGCCCAGTGCAGGCGATAGGAGCCCTTGCGAATGAGTCATCCTTGGAACCTTTCTGGGCTTCACATAAAAGGGTTCATGAAAGCAGCAGTTCCTCTGTCCTGGGATGTTCTGTTCACTGAGAGGAATCTATAGAGGTACTGAATGGGGATGTGCAGAGGCCCCACCTGCTGGAGTTGGTGATGAAGCCCCCCCGCCTGTGACACAAGAGCTTAACCCTTAAGGATAGTTCAAGAGAAAGAGAAAAATCTTCCTAGAGAGAAATAAATAATTTTTCTCTAAGAATTGTAAGCTCTGGAGATTTGCAAGGGAAGAGCACAGATGCTAAACTAACATGCTGGGGAAGAAGGCAGGTGCCAGGCTAAATAAAGAAATGTGAGCACATACTCAGAGAACAAGCTCCTTTATTTCCACAGGGAGGCATAAATGTATATTAATGAAGATTCTGAATGACAAGAAATCAAATAATGACATAAACATCACAGTAAACACCAAAACCCTAGAGTTGGCTGAAAGGATTCACTATGGAAGGGGCAGAGGATTTCTGATTGTGTGCCCTACTCTGCAGTCCTGTAAATCTTCACAAAAGACAAGAGCTCTGCTTGTAGAGTTGGAAATTGACATTGTATAAATAAGAGAAGCTCCTGGATTCAGGCATTGATATTGAGAGAAACCCTAGGAAGCCATTGCATTTGCTCAAAGGCACAAGAGCAAAGAAGTGGGATGATTCATGATCTAAGCAAAAAGCTCTGTATGAAGTCTGAAGGAATGGTTTCTTGGTACCAAGAGGCTCCCCAAGATATAGTGAAGAGAGACAACTGGAGAGGGAACACAAAGGACAGCCTCTTCACATGATCTCCATACTGCAAGGGGAAGGATCTTTGCTGCATGGCAAGTGAGCACATGGGTGTGAGTGTCTGTTGTTTTCTTCTGACCTATTTTCTATTTCACTTTTATACAAGTCAATGCTCAGCTCTCTTCTGCTGGCCAGAGAGGCATATATGGGACAGTTTGTACCAATGTCACAGAATCCTTCTCTGGACCTGGGATGGACATCTATCACTTTTTAGCTGTCAAGTATCATTACTTTCTTGCAAGCTTTGAGGAAACTGAAAGTATCAGTTACTCATTTTTCTATATTTCTTTTGAAGCTAGGATACAGTACATGACATTGGCTCAGGCAATCAGATTACATGTCAGTGCTAAAGAGAAGCAAGACCAGTAGAAGATATGCTTCAGCATTCTATTTCCTGATGCAGCTATACCAGAGGCCAGCTATGGTGATGTTCGTAAAGAAGCTACAGAGTCTACTCCTTCATAGTGCAACAAAGGTGTTCTCATGATACTAAGTCTGTACCATGATTTTGCCTGTGGATATGGTTATATGGCCACCAAGACTGAATCTCTAATCATCCCATCAATTTTGTAAGCTACCCAATATCCTTCCAGAGCTAGTTTCTGTTGCTTACAACTAAGAACTCAGAGAATCTAACAATCCCTCTTGAGACTCTAGAATATATCCTTTCCTGTTCTCTCCACAATCCCAGTCATCCTTTGAGAGCCAACACAAGTCTCTTCTCTTCTAAAAAGAATATTCTGTTCCATTCATTCGAATAGCATCTCTTGAGTTTCTCTCATGATCCAGGAACTATGCTAAGTGCTGAGGATGTAAAGATAAATTGGATCCTGAGTTTTCATTCAAAGAGTTCCCATTATAGTGATAGATAAACAATGGAAAATAAATTAGTGTAGAGGATACATTAATCCCTGGTTCATGGCTACGTGACCATGATGGAGAAATCAGAGTTGAGAAGTTGAGGCTTCCACTTCTGGTAATGGAAGACTAGCTTTCCCACTAAAGAGCAATAAAAATTCTAGTCAAAATATTTTTTTAAATGTCTATAAAATATTGAAGATATTAAAAGATAATAAAGATTATAGGGGTAAGATATAATACAGCAGAAAGGTGAGTGCAACATTTCTCTTTGGTCAAGAGAAATAGAAAGTATAAAAATAGAGTTAAGTAGAAACATTACAACAAAAAATATAATAAGAAAAACAATAAACTTGATAGATAGATGTAACAACAGATAGCTTACAACTAAAGAAATAAAAGTGAAATGGAAAATAGGTCAGAAGAAAACATCCAGAATAGAAACAAACATAAAACATGAAGGAGCAACTAAGAGACATAAAAGATATAATGAGAAGGTCTTACCTATGTGCAATTGGCACCCAAGGAGGAAAGAAAGAAGAGAGAACATGGTAGCAGAAGAAATATTTGAAGAGCTAGTGGTTAAGCATTATTCAAACTAATAAAAAGTATCAAACCACAGATTCAAGAGGCCTATGAACCTCAACAAGGATAAATTTAAAGAAAAACACAGGCACATCATAGTAAAGTTGCTGAAATAGAAAACAACAATAAAATATCAAAAGCAGCTATGATTAAATTATGTGATACTTGGGATTTACTTTGAAATGATGCAATGGTCCTGGGAAAAGTTTGTGGGGTTATAGATAAAAAATATGGGGAGATTTGGACACGTGTTCCAGTGAAGGGCCTTGCTGGTCACCTGCAGCTGGAAGGCTTTGTGGATGAGACCCATGGTTCATCCTCTCCCCTACTCGCCTTTGAATTCTCAGGTGTATTGCTTGGGACTTTGAGATGACATTGTGCCTCTCCCACCCTATCTGGACACTTGTTCCAGTGAAGAACCTTGCCAAATGGCAAGCCACCTGAGGCTGGAAGATTTTGTAGCTAAGATCCATGGCTCATCCCCTTCCGCACTTGCCTTTGAACTCTCAGGTATGTTTCTTGGGACTTTGAGATGACCTTGTGCCCATCCCTCCCCCATCCCAACATTAGTTGGTGATAGAATACAAAATCAACATCTAAAAATCTATAGCACTTCATGGACAAGTTAAATGAGGTAGAAATGAAGAAAGAAATCACTTTTACCATAGCCACAAAATGTGTCAGATACCTAGGGATAAACCTAACTAAGGAATTCAAAGACCTTTGTGAAGAAAATCTTTGAAAAGATATTGAAAATGGCACAATAAAGGTGAAAGGATATCCCATGTTTAACGTAATTCCAATCAAATTACCAGAGACATTCTTCACAGATCTAGAAAAGACAATCACAGAATTTGTCTGAAATCATAAAATACCTCCTATTGCCAAAGCAATCCTGCATAAGAAGAGTGGAGTGGGCAACATCTCACTCCCTGACCCCAAAGTGTACCATAAAGCTGTGATAAAACAGCATGGTATTGGCACAAATACAGAGAGGTGGGCCAATGGGATAGAAAAGAGACCCTAGAAATAAACTCCAAAACATACAGCCAATTGATTTTTGACAAAGGATACCAATCAATCCAGTGGAATAAAGGAAAACCTCTTTAGCAAATGGCATTGGGAAAACTGGGTATCCACCTGCAGAAAGATGAAACTGGATCCCCATCTTTCACCATTAATGAAAATCAACTAAAAATGGACTGAAGATCTGAACCTAAGATTTCAAACTATAAAACTACTGATGGAGGGACCAGCAGTTGGCACAATGGCTATGTCACTGGACTCTCAAGTAGTTGACCACGATTCGAGTCCTGGAACTGGTGGCTTAAACTCATGCTGGGCCTGTGTGCGTGTGTGACCAAGATCCCAAGAGGAGAATGCAGGAGAAGGGATTGCGATGTGGCCATGCCCCCTGGGGGGGGTGATTTCTTGCTTTCTGTCTCTCTGTCTCTCTCTGTCTTTCTGGCAAGCGCATGCGCCCTATGCAAAAGCCTCTCCCCCCCCCCAAAAAAAAAATAAACTACTGGTGGAAAACACTGGGGAAACTTGGGAGACATTGGGGTAGAAAAGACTTCTTAAATAAGACTCCCAAAGTACTGGCAATAATCCCAAAGTAGACAAGTGGGATTACGTCAGATTAAAAAGTTTCTGCATAGCAAAAGACACAGTAATTGGTGTGAATCAACAACCCTCAGAATGGGAGAATATTTTTGTAAACTATGCCTCATATAAGAGACTGGTAACCAGAATACACAGGGAACACAAGCGGCTTGCCTGAAAAGAAATGATTAACTCAATTAAAATATGGGAATGGGGCCGGCAGGTGGTATGGTGGTTAAGGGCACTGGACTCCCACAAGGCTGACCAAAGTTTGAATCCTAGACATGGTGGCTTTCTCTCTCTCTCTCTCTCTTTGATCTTCTCTGATAAAATTAAAATAAATGAATAAATAAATAGAGTTAAGTAAAATAATTATTTTTTAAAAAAGAAACACAGTATATAGATATAAATACCAGATATAGTGTGTGTGAAAGAAGAGGGTCTGAGGAAGGATATTTAGAAGAAAAATAAGGAGGCAAAGCATTAATGGCACAAAGAAATGTGGTATTATCTGTTGAAGATATTTTGTATTTTTATCAACTGTACTAGGGAAAAATGTTCACCTGTTAAAATATCTATTTTGTAAGCCAAATAATAATGTGATTGAATGTATAAAAGAAAATGAAATGAAAAAATAAAAAAGAAACAAGCAAACAAGATAAAAAAGATGGGAAATGAGCTGAACAAAAATCTCTCGAAGGAACACAATGAACAGCCAAAA